TACTAGAAACTAAAGCCATTCCATGCCTTTTCACCATTTAGATAGTGGTGTACTATTTTTCACCATTTAAACAGAGATCTCATCTGTACTGGAATATAAACGTTAATGGCAAATGATTTTGAAAAGATGGGTAGGGAAATCACTGTCAGTCCGTGCTTTAAATTTTGGCATGTACACCCCGAGACAATTAACAAGCAATCCCAAAGGCCCCTGGGACATAAAAGTTGGTAATTTTTGCAAAGGGAAGCATCTACGCTCCGAAGGGCTTGGGTGTGAAAGAGTCCCTGGCCACGCAGCCACATCCCCAAGTGTGCTGGCATTCGAACCGCGTCTGTTTATAAAGTCAGTGGAGCTGGGAGGCACTCCCATGTAACAAGCTGTGCTCTGACTTGGCTGTTTCTGCATGGCCTCATTTAATTTCCAAAATGCTCTGTGAAGCTGTTAGTGCTATTATTCTAATGTTTTCAGATTAAGATACTAAGGCTTATTTAGGAAAGCTAAATGGCAAGCCCTAGGTCACTGCCTGCGAAAGTCCCAAAGCTAGGCTAGAGCACCCTGAGCTGTCAATCACTGCCACTGAGCTGCTTTTGAAGGCATCTGGAGGCCTGGCCACAAATCGTGCCATGCACTGTGTTACAGAGTATTAATCTATTGGTATTAAGGTTTTTGAGGCAAGGTCTCACTCCACAGGTTAAAGTGACCTTAGAATTTTCCATTTTTCCTGGCTTTGCCTACCTAACACTGAGATTATAGGTGTGAGCCAACAAGCCCAGCACAGTCTTTTAGTTGCTTAATAACTATATTAATTTTAGCTCTCTAGAGCATACAGAGGGTCTGGGACAGTCACTTAAAAATCCATTAGTCTGTAAGGACTTGGATTCATAAGCTGGTGTACACACCTCCGTGTAACGGCCACACTCGGGGGGAAAAGAGAGGAGGATGCAGAGTTAGAGGTCACCCTGAGCTATAGACAAAAACACTGTTCAGGAAGAGAGAAGAAGGGGTGGATACAGAGGAGAATGCCTAGGTTGTCAGTCAGGTGACTTTTGTTTCCTGAACCTCAGCTTTCTCAAGCTTAAAATGGACATAATAATAATTATTGTTCAGTGGAGTCATTATAAGGATTAAATATGGTAATATCACTTAAAACTGGTAGCAAACATTAAAAACGTTAAACATTCTTAAAATGGACTTCTATGGGGAAAATGTTTTATGTGCAAATAGCCATCTATGACAGTTTTAGGATTTTTTTTTTTTTTTTTTACTTTTTCCTAGTTATTTCCATTGCTTTTTTGTTATCCTTTTTAAATCAGTATTGGACTGCCCCTAATGACCCAATGAGAATTAATTTAGAATGTAGAATATATATTTATACAGCATGATTAAAACTAATTAGAAATTTGGTTTTTTTGTAATTATCTAGAATTTAAAACACATTATAAAAAATAATGTAAGATAGAAATGAGGTGACTTGGATGGGAAGCCATGTGGCTGTCAGAGCTGTTTAGAGATCGAGGTCCCCCAGGGGTTGTTAGAGTGTCTGAGGGGCTAGGCCTGACTTTGGCATCACTGCTTATGTGATAGAGAAACTTGCACTGTGCTCAGTATCTATCTGCCAAAAGAAAATGCAGCAAACCTTGTCTTTATGATATTTTATTTGAGGACAATAATAAATTATCAAAAAAAAAATGTCCTCCTAAAGCCAAATTCTAGGTCTTGCTGGGCTGTGTGAATCTCCTCTCTCAGGGAAAAGTTGGCCACATTTTCAACCTTGTGAATCACCGACTCATAAACTGCACTGAATTAATAAATGGCAGCAAGACTCGTGGTGATGTGGCAAAATATATCAGCAGAGTTTATCAGAAACCATACATTTGGAAGACACACAGCAGTTTCGTTCCCAAATAAAACAAGAATGTCCACAAACATGACCTCTGGCCAAACAAGCTGAAGTTTGCTAATGTAAGAAAGTATATAATCAAGCACATTTCTAATCCGCAGGTAAGAATCACAGAACAACTTCAACAAGCCTGCACTTCAACAACACGTCCACTTTACACAGATAGGGCTTTAAAACGCATTCATAATCTGCCTTGTTTTCTCATTCCTCATTCCAAATCATTGTTAGCTTAGCCATGTCTGGCAGGTGTTAGTCAAAACAAATAATACTTTAAGGACTCTAACAAGTTTTCACATGGACCAATGTTTACATCTAGTGTTTTGACTTTATTTTTAACTTTGTCAATGATTTTGTTTTCCAAATAATGCCATTAAGCTTCCCTTGCCTAAGTCCATGGTGCTTTACTTGCCAAGTTATATTCATGTAAAATTTAGTGAAGATGTTTATGGCATTTTAAAAAAAATCAACAGATTCTACCCTTCTGTTCTGAACTCACTAGCCTTCCTATTAGTTTAAAGAAAATAAGACTCTTAATGCAAATCCATCTGTCTTAAGAAAATAAATGAATTATTTTCTGATCTGGACCTTTTTCTTCCTTTATACTAAGCTGAAAGCACACTATTAACAGAAAGTGACTATTAGTAAAAAATAATTGCAGATAACATATTTCTGTGGTACTTTCCTTATTTAGAAATAAAAATCAGCCCATGACAATGGCTCTTGCCTATAAATCCAGCATTTCAGAGGGGATAAGAAAGAAGGATTATAAAGAAGTAGAGGTCATCCTTGGCTACATAGTGAATTTCAGGACAATCTAATAAGACTCTGTCTCAAACAAACTGTCTCTCTCTCTCTCTCTCTCACACACACACACACACACCAATCCACACAAGAAAATATAAAGAGATGGTAATCCCATAATTTCTGGTATTTCCATACCTTCATGCATGTTTGTCACGTATTGGCCAATTATTAGCAGTCTACATGTCAAGAATAAGTAAGCATTTTTGTACCTAAATATACAAAGTAATTTCCATTTTTCTTATGGTAACTATTTAAATGTCATTGTAAAATCATATCATACATGCTATATCTGTTATACTGTAAATTACTGGAAAGAGGATCCAGGGTAGTAAATACTAGTGTAACTGAGTCAGTAATAATAATCAAGAAGTTTAATCTTAGTCCAGTAAAAACCTGATACAAGTAAACCTGAGAATTCCCATGGCTAGTATTTTGTAATAGATTTTTATCTCTTCTGTTTTGTTTGGTTTTATTTTGAGGCTTGGTCTCATAATTTCTAGACTAGTCTTGAACCCATGGACTCAACTGATGCTTTGGTCTTTGCCTCCCCCATCTATTAGATGAATATATTGTTTAAAAGGATTTAGATTCTTCTTTGCAAATGACAACATCAAAATTTACATAATACACCATATATCTATTAAGAAAGATGTATGATCCAGCAGGATTCCTTATTCCACAAGCCTGATAACCTGAACCCATTTAGCAATGGAAGGAGAGACCTGACCACACATAAGCTGTGCATATATCCTTCCACTCTGATTATATACATGTATAATAATAAATTTAAAAAATAACGTTACTGTGGAGGAGAACATGGACTTTTCATTGCACTAGGGAAAGTCAAGAGCTTTAAGTTGGGTAAGGAGAAAGGAGAGCACTCACACAAATATAAATGCAACCATTTTAAAGAACACCTTAAAAGGGCAACAATTATCTGCCTCTCCTCATGTGATAATGATTAAATGATCAACATTCCTCTATAGAGCAATGAGACACAATTCTTTGCATTTCTGGTTAATGAAATGTTTAACTGTACTGGGGTCTCCTATTCTTTTCACAAGGTAGGTAAACTTAGAAAGTCCCAAACCATTTTATTACCTGCATGGTGCCAGTTGTCATGGGTGTCCTGTCACAGTAAGCACATAGCTGCCAATACCATTCGTGTCAGGCTGGAAAAACATGAACTAAAAAGCACTGCCCCAACATCGAGGTCAAAATGCTCCTTGATGCTTACAGCCTGGCTATGAAGTTATAAAATGTGATTGAGATGTAAAGGAAAAAAAAAAAAAAAAACTAAGCTTGTTCTCTAATGCCTTCCTTTTATCCTTCAAGTCTCAGAACTTTTGGAAGCTTTGGGCTTGGTCAGGGATTCCCCCCACCCCACACACATACCTTGCTCTCTAGTATGTTTCTCTAGTACAATCAGAAGACTTATCACTTTGTTTCCTCAAATAGTCCAGTAAAGATGAGGACAAGACATTGACTTTATAATTCATAAGAGCCAGTAGGAACCAGGTTCATAATAATTACTTAGGAACAATGTACTGTGTTGACCTAGAAGATTAGCTTCTTTCTTCTTGTTTGAATTCATCTGCTTATTGCCTTTCAAAGACACAGCAGATGGTTGTGCAGGACACTACAGATGCTACAAGAAACACCCCCACCAATCACAATGCCATTTGATAATGTTACTAATGGTGACATTATCAAAGATCAACAAAGTAGAGGTGGTCTGTATATCTGTTAGAAAGGCATTTGATTTTGACACTGCCAGAAGAACAAACAGGGAAACAAAAGAAATATTTGTAGTTCAGGTCCTAAGAAACATGGCAAGAACAAGTAGTGAAAAGTAACCTATGACATAAGCAGAATCTGATGAGATGGGTTAGAAGCAGCTTGTGCTGTGTTGAGGACCCTGGAATGTGGGGCTTCACTGTCAATGGGACAGGTCAGGCAGGGCCTTGAAAACAGACAAGCAGCGAAGCAGACAGAGTTAGACTCAACTTTCAGCCATCACTGTGGAAGAAAATGCACTCGATAAGTCCTCTATATTCTGTACTATATGCTATATATACTATATGTTTTAAAGCTACTGCTATGAACATCTGCCATGTTAAATCTAATGGGAGCAAAAGTAAACAGCATGAACATTTCCTGTCCCTGGTATGCTTGTGTACCACTTCTCTGATGCAGCTTCCTGAAGTCTTTTGAAATTTAACACAATTTTTCTCTGAAACTTGAAATAGTTTCGCTGTGTTAATTTCACGGAAATTTTATACGAGACATTCCATACCTGAGACACTTTGCCTGTTGGAATCTGAGTCACCATTACTGGAATTAGAATTATTGGAAGAGTTGTTGTCAACCCCTCCCAGCAGGGGGCGCAAGTGGCTTACTGAGACTTGTTCAATGAAAGACGTTCCATACTTGCGAAAATACCACCATTCAAATATCTAGAACAGAAAAATAATGTGTGTTTATAATCTGTTTTTCTTTGTAATTTCAAAACACATGCCCTCAGTATATGATTGCTATTTCTGTCCACCTTTCAAAAAATGTTTAATTTGGTCTAACTGTAATAGATTTCAATAATTAAACACCAGTATTGTTTAGTTAAAATGTTTTTTTCTCTGCTGAAGAGTGGTTTTAAAAAAGAATATATAATTACAATGATAGACAAAATATTAAGGTGTTTTTAAAATTATTTTTCTCTAGGTAAACATAATATTCTAGTAACAAAATCACCTTAGCAGAAAGAGAACTCTATAAATGCATATGAATACCAGTTTTTCCAAAATATACCTTAGAATTAAAATGCTTTAATTCTTGGCATTTTATATTTTTGTAAAATCACACCCAAAATTTCAAGTAATTTTAAATTTAAAAAATGCTTTAATTGTAAAAGTAAGACTTTTTTCCAAGAAATGCTGGTTTTAGCAAACAATAGAATGGATCAGAACTATTAGCATGCTGCTTGAGAGACTGAGGCAGGAGGATCACTTTAGCCCAGGAGTTCAAGGCCAGCCTGAGTAACATAGTGACACCTAGTCTTTAGAAAAAAGTCAAAAGTAATCATCATTTCGTGCATGGATGGCCCTCAATTCCTGAAGCTTCTCAGTCCCCTTCAGGCTAAGTGCTATTCAACAAACATTTGTTGTTTGTCATCAATGTTGCTATTTCTAAAGCTGACTATTGTGTACTTTTAATTCCAAGAGAAAACAAATAACTTTCCTTAATTTTTTTTTAAACAAAAAAGTCATACTTGTATAACTAGCTGAAATCAATGTTCCTGAACCCTGGAGGAGTGAGTGCCTTCCCATGTCTCTTTCCACAAGGACTGCTTCCCCACCAACATCCCATGTTGCTCTCCCCATCCTTTTCTCCCTGACCTATCTAATTACAATTTGTTCTTTCCCAGTCATACATCATTCAAGAGAAGAAATTTAAGAATAGCTACTAGCCAAAATGGTAGCCTAGGTCTTACCTGCAGTCCTCACTCAGGAGGCTGAGGAAAGTGGGTCATAAGTTCAGAATGGAGAAAGCCTGACTCAAACAATCAAGCAAATGGCCAAGCATGTAGCTCATATTTATAATTGTTCACTAACTAGAAAAGCCAGGGCAAGGAGACTGCCGTGAGCTCCAGGGCAGCTTGGCCACAGAGAGGGAAAAAGAATAACCACATGCCTGAGGCTCAAAGGATAGCTGTATGAGTCTATAAAGTATGCAATGCACAATCAACGTTGAAGTAGATATGTTTATGTCTTTGTTTACTTCATAAGAAAGTTTCATTATCTGCTCTGGAATGGCCATTGGGCTATTATTTAAAACTGATATTTTCTCTCTTATATTCTGCTGGCATAAAACAACCATCAGGAAGGACATCTATGACTACCAGAAGAAAATATCGGCCAACCATAATGTTCCCAGCCATATATGGGATACATATTTTATTGAGTTACTTCTCATATTGCAATGTTTAAGAATATAGTTTGAAAGTTATTTGGATATGGGACTAATCTGTGTGAAGAAAAAAGAAAGTTCAACAGTGATAAATGTTGGGAGCATCGTATTTCCAGGGAAACCAGGAATGTTAAGCATGCAGGACTGTCCTCTCAAGGGGAAGGATGTAAAACCTGTTTTCCACCTAGAAGGCTGGGAACTAGAGGTGATTAACAGCCAGGTGATTTGTGTTATCTGAAGGACCAGGCCACATCCAGCTCCCACAACCAAGACCAGAGGTGGCTAGTAGGCTAAATGACCCTAACATTGTCTGCGTAGCCAGGGGCTCCTCCAAGCTCCATAAAACCCAGACCAGAGGCAAATGATACCCCAAATGATCTCTACACTAGCTGTATGACCAAAACCATGCCAGATCCGTCCTAGGCCCTTAAAGTAACACAGGTAGTCTATCTCTAGAACCCATCTTCTTAGAAGAAATGACATCTATCTTGAGTTGAGTGTCAATGTTGTTATGCTTCCTTTTGACCAGGGATTATATTATAACCAGGAAACTTTTTTCCAAATTGTACTGTGTTTAAACATAAATAATAAATAAACCTCCTGGCATCAGACTCTTAGAACTTTGCTCTAGCCTGGTGAACTGAAGCTGAACCAAGTTTTCATTCCCACCTCTTCAGGGATTGCCTCACTGCTGGCTGTAACACCTGCAGGGACCCTCATAGGGAAACATACAGATTGTGGAGCCATAAAGATGTCTATAGCTCCAAGTGATTTATTTGATTTATTTGGATACTAGTACCTTCCATATATTTATCTTCAAGAGTCGTCATTTTTCATACCAGCTCAATGTAAAGTACCTACTTCAGTGTCTGGCCCACAGTTCTCAAATGCTCACTAACAAAGTTACCATCTGTTATGTTAATGATTTGTGCCACTCAAGGATGACACACCTCTGAGTCCTACCCTGAGGTACCCATCTTTTGCTAGTTGTTGTGTAGCAATTCCTCTAAAATGCAACATTTCTTCTTAGAGGGAAGGCAGTTAAGACAAAGGATGCTCTAATCTAAAGAGAAGTAAAACAATCCATTCTGCAGGCAAGTTCACTAAAACTCGAAATGTAAAATGACTCAGGAGTGGCCAGCTTCACTAGGCCCTCATTCCTCGTGCGTAAATAAGCAGTAACAATTGTGAGGAGACACTATCAGACCAGCCAGGCTGCCTGGAAAAGACACTTCAATCTGTCAAGATGCCTGCAAGTTGTGCAGTGTACTTTGGGTGTCCAGCTTTTGTGAGCCATACGCCATACTCCATAAGTAACTGCAGAAAACTCAGGTTAGCAAGCTTGACTTAAGGAGTGTCCTTATCAGTCTCTCATTGGTTCCATATCTGGGGCGAGCAGGTGTCTTTCCATCTCCCCAGGAACAGTGCTGTCAGATGCCACTCCACAGTTCCGGCTAGTATAGCCTCTTACCTATCACTAGGATGTTAACAGAAAACACGTGACAAGGTACTGCTGAGCTGCAGTCCTGAGCAGTCCACAAAGCTCTCAACAAGTCCACAAAAGCTCTCTGCCTCAAGGTTCCCACAACCCCCGGGTCACTGGTCACAGAAATGACAACAGATGTTTTGTCCTGCTTTCCCGTGTTGCACTGTTGGAGCACCTACTATGCCACAGTCCACTCATTCCATCACACGGCACCGCACATTCTTAGCCACCATGAGCAATACCCCAGGGTCACAACAATCTTGTCCCTACCCTAAAAGCCCATGCTTCACATCCACAAGATCTCTGACATGCCAGAACCCATCACATGCACAAAGCCTTGAGAGTTCAGTTCTTTCGTTCCTCTAGCAGAACCATACAAAGACCAACACTTAAAGAACTATGGACCTTAAAGAACTATGTAGGGGATCCACTAAGATGAGGAACAAAGACTGTTCATCAAGATGCAGTGACCCGACCTGAGTCACAAAGCTAAATAAAGTTGCTCAGCCTGAAGCCCAGCTCTCTGCGGCTCCCTTCCCAAAGCTCTTTATTAAGCTACCAACATAACAATGCTTCAGTTAAGCTGGAACAGACACACAAGCAGTCCTTCATTTCCCTGGAAAAGTCCTCTTACAGTCTCCTTATTCTTTCTTAGCTATATAAACCAATTCAGAAGTAGTCTATCAAATGTGACCAGATAATTAAACCTAAGAGGCAAGTGCCTCAAATTAAGTAGCCATTTGGGGACACTAGTATAAATAGTGGTTCCCTGTCCTTCCACTATGTATCAAAAGAAAAGGAAGAAAGGAAGAATTTGAAGCTTTCTCAAATGTCAAACCAAGCTCTTTAACTTCAGGTAGCAGCACAACAATCTTTTAAGAATTTCAAAACTCATCAGACTTTGAGGGAACACTTCACAATATTTTTAAAGTGCTGAATGGATCCAAATGGGCAGATGGTGTTATTTAATGCATACATATTTGGTGTCACTTTGAATACATTTCCCTTGTGCATACGTGCAGGGTAAACAGTAAGGCACTCATAAACAAATTTAGCTTTTTAAAATAGCTCGTAGACATGCTAGTTTAGTGGTCCTGACATACTGGGAAGGGGGGGGCAGTCTCTCTAGTTTGCCAAATAACTTGGGATTTAAAATGCAAAATTATGCATTTCTTAGTTTTAAAACCTTAATCTCTCCACTACTCTTTCTCCTTCCCAGGAACCATCTCTGGAGTAATACAGATTAAGTAGAGTGGGAATCCAAACCATCCATCAACAGGGTATGGCAATGTTAGATATCCAAAGTTGACTCTATCTAGTTTAAGGGCAAATACTCTTAACTAAGAAGCCAGGCTCGTTGGTCTGGTTTCTGGTTTCTCTGGGGCTGTTTTCTAGTGTCTGTGGTCAAGTCAGAGTGTGCACTCAGAATGGGAAGGATGATGCAATGTTTACAATGCTGGATAGCTCCTCGTGATGGGCCAGTGGAGTAACTGCATGTAACCTAAATAAACAGCAGAATCAAGTTTTAGAGGGCGGGAATTTGGGCTTAAAAAAAAAAAAAAAAAAAGGCTAACACACGCTTTTGAAGTGGAAAAAGCACCATGAAAAGAAAAAAATCTGTAAGAATCTGGAAGTACAAAAGCACAAATGGCCAAGAGGCATGAGGCCAAGATTCCGGGAAACAGTCCCTGGAAGGTAATTTACGCTGTGTGGGTGTGTGCCTGCACCCGTGCATGCATGTGTGCATCTGTGCATCTGTGTGTTAAATGCCTGTGCGGTAGTGACTCGCCCGTGTGCTGCATATCATTTTCTCTCATTACCAAGAGATTATCAAGCATACGAGATAAACCAAGGCATCTGGCAAGCGCTGCAGTGATATCCATAACTACTGTTTAGTGTCCCTTTGCATTCTTAAGTACATCCTTTCCTTCATAACAACTGGCCCTTTCAAAGTCACTTACAACTCAAGACTGACATTAACTGCAAAGAAAAAAGAAAGGAAGGAAT